TGTCAGCAGGAGGGGTGACTCTGTTAAGAGATCCCTACTGAGCAACCAATGCACGTGAAGTAGCAGGTGGTTATCTGAGCTAAGTTAAGAAAGATGTGCCTAGGCACATTAAATCCAGCTCGAGTAATCTTCATCAGTGAGGAGAGCAGATTTATGTTCCTATGAACAGGCTGTGTCTGAAATAGCGGACACAGCTCCCAGAAGGGATTTTCACAGGCTTTGGCAGGCAGTCTCCGGAGGGATTTTCACTGGGTGGGTGTTCCCAGAACAGATCGTGCGCATTATTTTAAGGGAAAGTTAAGAAATGAAAGCATTTCCCCTCTACTCGAACACTTGGCTAAGTCTGAAATCCTTCCTAGTCGGGTTCCCACTCTGCTGACCTGCCTGCAAGATGTCTGAGAAATGTAGATGAGGCTGGGAAAAGTTCTTGCAGCCTAATGCTGGCTGTCCTTTTGTTAGGTGTGCAGGGACTGTGCTATATCCATATGCCTGTGTATAGGCCTTATAAAGCTGAACTGAGGGAACTGGAGGAATGGAAAGTGGCTTTGGTCCCTGAGTCGCAAACTGGGTGTGCTACCATAAGCATGCACTCCCAGCTGTGTCCATGAGCGCATCGAACAGTGACTCTTCTAAGCCCACAGCACAAGCAGTCCTGTGGCTGAGCAGAGGCAAAGCAGTCTGCCAGCAGCACCAAGCACAGAGGCAGGACAGAGGGAGGACATCTGCCCAAAGGCCACAGCTTCCCTCATCGGCCCCAAACACACGGGGAAACTTTCCCTGCCAGTTAGCTGCTTCCCATGGCTCTGTCCCCAGTTGCAAACCATTCTATGTCAACTAATGAGAAAGCAGCTCCTAGCGAGTTTCCCTGAGTGTCCTCCTTGCCAGACCCTGTGCTGCCATCGTATCTGTCTGCCTTCAGGGCAGCTGGGTTCTGCCCCTTTACTGTGCAAAATTAATGTGATTGATCTGGCAGGTGATTTTCAGGATCAGTTCTGATAATGCCAGGTAGGTAAGGCAGTGCAGACTATGAGAAGCCAGTTATGTTTGGGAATTGTAGTGCATTTTTTCTCCAAGGCCCGGGAAAATTTGGAAAAAACCCTTCAGCCTGGCTGCTTCTTAATCCAGTCTTTCTTATCTAATTACAAACAGTCCCTAAAACAGTGATCCCATGTCTGCTGGTGTCCTACAAGTGCAGTGACTGGTAACCTGTGCAGCACAGGTGACAGGTGACTGACTCCCACTGCAGCCAGGAAGGATGTGTCAGCACAGAGCGGTACAACGCTGCATTTTGTTACAGTTTCAGAGAAACTGAGTAGTTTGAGGAGGAAGTAAAAAAGTTTTTTGTTTTGTTTCTATGATGACTTGCTGTGCCATCTGCTGCTTTTTATTCTTGAACCTCACAGCTCATCAGCAGCTTTCTCAGTAGCAGTGGGGACCTGCAGCTAAACACCAGTGATCCTGTGCCCTGGAGCAGCATTAGCAGGACCCCCTTTCTTCCTGGGAAACGTGGCCAGATTTCTCTAGGCTACACAAACCAGATCTGTGTCGTTTTAGTTACCGGCACTTTGAGGGTCTGGCACATACATTTGTGCTTAGAAATATAGCAAACAGCACCCTGCTGATGTCAACAGGCTTGAGTCCCTTGGCATTCGAGGAAGCTGGTTTATTCTAACTGGAAAAAAGGTGCATGGATTTTAGCCCCATGTTATTATGTTCTCAGTGATCAGTGGAAGTAAGATGAGAGGGCTTGTCCCGCTCTTGTGCTCATTTTGGCACTGCTAAATTCAGTGCCACTGGTAGGACTACCCGAGATTTGTAAGTGTGTGTGAGTGAACATGGGGGCTTCTGTTCTGCCCCCTTCACTCAGTGACATTTTCACCTAATTATCAGCCATTTAAATCCAGATCAGAAACTGGGAAAGCAATGGCAGACCATGGCACTGGCCTGCCCACTGGTGTGGTTCCTCACAGTAGTTTTATTCCCCAGTCATTTCCGGGCACAGATAACTGCTATTTAAGTGAAATTAGTTATGAGCGTACTGTTGCTTGGAGAACACTTCTGGATAATCAGGTTAAAAAAAAAAAAATCTGAAAGACTTCTGAGAACTGATGGGAAGTCTCTCATAACAATGTCTTTCCAGTTTAGCTGACTGGAAACATTAGAAAGCCTCTGCACTCCTACAAAAGTGATCCTCAAGTTCTGAATTAGTTTAGGTTTTAACAGTTGCCTTCACCTTTTTAGCTATTTTGATCTAATATTTATTGACTTGAGTCTTCTAATAACTGTGTGGCCTAAGGAAAGTCCATAGACAGTGATAATGCAGAAAATTTGCCTTATGGTCTATAAACTAGAAAAATTTTCTTGAAGGTATCCATGCCACGAGTTTGCATTAAAAATCATAAATCAGGCTTGGAGAATAGAGGGTTTAGGGTTTTTTGTATCTGCATTTTGACTTCTGAGCATGCTGCCCAGTGGGTTGTGCAGTCTTCAGATTTGGAGGCTTTCAAACCCCAGGTAGACAAAGCCATGGTTGACCTGCTCCAGTGTTGGAAAAGATCCTTCTTCAAGTGAGACGTTAGACAAGAGCTGTCCAGGGGCCCCTTCCCATGGGCAGTTCTGTTATTTTGAATATGAATTACATTTAGCAGCTTTTTCTACAGTCATGAAAACTTAAAATTAACTTTTACAACTACATGAAGGTATGAAAACATAAGGGAAACCCTCTAAGGCTGAGACTTGAAATAATAGATGGCAGTGCTAAAGGACAGTGGGGCCTCAGAGTCACTTCATAACAACAAACTTGAACACAGTCTCAGCAAGTTTTCAATTCAACCTTGAAAGTTAGCCTGAAAAATATATTTTGGGATCTTATTTTAGGAACATTGGACTAGACAAAGTGACTGTCTTGCTTGAACATATCCAATACAATAATAAAGATCTGCCCCAGCTGTATAACTTTAGGACTCTGTCCAGTTGGGATTCAGCAAGGATAATTCCCTGAGTCACATGAATATAAACACCTTCCTCTTTATAGAAGTATGTGGGAAAGTAAGGCTGTCAGCTACATAATGTGCTGCGGAATCACCGGCATAACAATTCTGATCAAAGCTGACACCTCCCATCTGTTTCTATATGCAGTCTGTTCAGCATAAATCATAAACAGATGGTGCCATGGTGTCAGTGTCTCACAAGTCATGCTGCAGTCACCGGGTGTTAGCTAGGGCTCAGTTGATGCCTAACTTTGCCACTTTACCCTTAATTGTTGGGTGTGTTTCATCCATGGAAATAACCTTTTAGCCATCTGAATCCAACTGCTTGCTGGTTTCCATGGCGTGGGTGGCCAGAGAACAGGTTTTTCCACCAGCCAAGCTGTTCATCTTCCAAAGCTGCCTGGCTGCAGCACCATTGTCAACAAGTTTTGCAGAGGATCAAGGGCTGGTAATGCATACTGACTCCCTCCAACCCATTTCCCATCTCTCTGCCACCCACATAGTTAGCCTGATTCTCAGAGCAGCACATGCTTTCACTGTCTCATCCTACTAATTTGTTAGCTGAGGTAGCCAGTCCTCTTCCTTTACTCCACTTGACCTTGCAAAATAGGCAGTGTTGGAAGAGTAGCCTACCTTCATGGAAAAAGCCTCCCATCAGTAAAGGATTTTGAAGGACTGGATAATGGTGATTTAGGGCTTAACCCTTATTATTTGTGACTACTGTTGAACATCTGGCACTTTAATAGGAGTTGTTTCTGGTTCAAAATCCAATCAGCTAAATTCTTCCTCTCTGATTTCTCCCTGAAATTGCAGCTGAGCATATTCAACTACATTTGAATTACTGAAATTAATTTTTCTCTTTTCTGGTTTCCTCTTTGACCATATCAAGGATCGAGTTTGAAATTCATCACTTTAGTTCTTTGATTTAGAGCCCAATCAGCAAAGCTGTAGGAAACTCCAAAGTCTCTTAATTCTCCTTGATACTGTTGAGATCCAGAGTCTTGGCTATGTCCTGTTCAGCAAGAGATTGCTACTTCAAAGCTTGGATCTAAGTCTGGAGTTTGAGGAGGCTGATGAGTTTGAATAGCTGGGAATCATCTGCGCCTCACTTTAACTGACTCTATCAGACTACTCTGTCAGATTACTATCAGACTACTGGGCAACTGCTTTTAGCAGTGCAGCTGCAACTCTGTGATGTGTCACTGCGATTGATGGCTCTGTCCCAGAACCCATGACATGGGATGGACTTTGTCCAAAGTGGAATGAGTCTTAGTTTGCAAAGGCAAAGCTCCAAGATACGAATTCCTCACCTCAGCAGCAGCTTCAGTTCTTCCTGGATTTCTCCAAAGCCTGCTTGAGAAAAACACCCAGTGTCAACAGCACCTGAATGTCTTGCAAATCGGAACAGTCAAAGTTCATCTGCTGTCCTCTCACTTTGAGATGCGTGTCTGTACTCAGAAGTAAGGCACTGCACTGCTGATTTATTTCAAATAAAGAAAAAACAGACAAAACTCCAAAGTAATTTTCAGCCTGAGTAATCACTGCAAATTTGCTCCAAATGTTGAACAGATGGAATCTGTATATGACTTCTCTGAGTATAAACACAAGCACCCTGTCATATTTCAATTGCCGATGTAACAACACAATGTGGCTCTTGCTAAAGGGAAAGTACATGAATTTGGGGTCTGATTATTTGTTTTCTCAGTGAAGTAAAAGATCTGGTGTATTCACTTGCAAATAACACATGACACTTGCCAATTGGTTCCACTCCATTCAAATATTTGCTCAGCAAAGCAGTAGTATGAGTTCTCTGCAAAAGGTGTGTTGTTGCTATCAAAACCATTTAATGCTTACTTTGGCTTTCTATTGCCACATTTGGTCACTTCAGATATGCAAACCAACCTGAGAACAGAAGTGGAAAAGAGTGAGAGTCGTTTTTGAGTTGTGGCCTCCTCTCTGGTTGAAGAGGAAGGAGCCTGGCAGTCCTCAAATAGAGCTTTTCTACAATCTCCTCACTTCTTCTCTGGCTTTAGGAAAGTCTCTTGCCAATTCATGATTGTATCTGTGAACTGAGAATAGGTGGTTTGAGATCTGTTGATGAAAAATATGCAAGTTAATATTCTGACTGTTATGGTTTAATGTAGAGGGGTTCCATTGGAGTATGGAGCTCTATTCTACCTCTACTGCTGGTGTTTGTTGCCCTGCATAAACACTGTTGTAGTAAAGGAGGAATAGGGGTAAAACTCTCCTACTTCACAAAGTGGTAGGTTATCTGGGGCAGGTTATCCTGACCCTTCATGGGTGTTCCCCAGAAGGGACTTGTGCCCTTCTCTCCAGTTCCTCCAGAGGTGACTGGGATCATAGTTTTCTTATGAATATGTAGAAACTCCATTGCTGCTTTCTCCCTTGATGCCTGGCTTTAACCTCTCTGTATTTTCCTTCTACTCCAAGGAATCATAGAACCAGCCGGGTTGGAAAGGACCTCTGAGATCATCAAGTCCAACCCTTGATCCACTACCACCACAGTTACTAGACTATGGCACTAAGTGCCACATCCAGCCTCATCTTAAAAACCTCCAGGGATGGAGAATCCACCACTTCTCTGGGCAGCCCATTCCAATACCTGATTACTCTATCTGTAAAGAATTTCTTTCTAATATCCAACCTAAACCTCCCCTGGCACAGCTTAAGCCTGTGCCCTCTTGTCTTACTGATAGTTGCCTGGGAGAAGAGACCGACCCCCACCTGGCTACAACCTCCTTTCAGGTAGCTGTAGAGTGATGAGGTCTCCCCTGAGCCTTCTCCAGGCTAAAAGAGCTGGAATATTCCTCTCCCTTCTTCCCTTTCACTGTAGTGGGTCTCCTAGTGTTGTTTTCACCTCCTGAGCATCTGGGTTCGCTACTGCTTTTCCTTCTTCCCCCTCTGTCACCTCTAGACATGTGTATGATGGGAGGTGTCCCAATAGCACCCCTCTTTGCTGTATCACCAGTGCAGCAGGACTCTTCCTTCAGAAAACTTAAGCTGGTGCAGATGAGTCCCCTGAGCTTTTCCTGCCACCTCTCCTCAGTCGCGTAAATGCATTACATCCAAAACATATCCTGAATGGAAGAAGGGCCAAGCAGCCAGATGATTGCTGTAGCTGATTGCAGCATCTGCTGGAGTCTCATTAGTGTTTTAGCTTTCAGACGTAGTTGTGGGATAGATTTGCTAGCTTCATTTGCTTCCTGCAAAAGCTGCTTTAGGCTTACACATGTGAGGCCAAGTTCCCCAAGGGAGGATTTAACATGGCAAGCCTATGTGTTAATGTTTTACATAATGTTTAATAAGAAAACCAGATGTCATTTGCTTTTAGTCAGCTGACTAGGTCTTCAGCAGTTTCCAATACTTACAGCAAATTTCTTTCCTGCTGGAGATGCTAAAGGTGTCAAAACCTCACACATAGTAAAATGTTTGGGAACGTGAGATATTCTAAAATGTGTGCAGGAATTTCCAGCTTCCTCTCTTCCCTTTTATATCTTGCTAATATCATCTATATAAATACAGAGACATGCAGATTTTCATGCCTCAAACTTCTTTTAAATTCTCTGCTAGCCTCCTCCTCTTCTGTTTAATAGATGTCTTAAAACTCTTTACTGTTGGCAGGTTCTCATCACCAGCCTCCACTCTGGATCTAGTTATATCTGCCTGACTTCTTTGTGTGTGTGATTTTGGTTTTTTGTTTGGTTGGTTTTTTACTTTTTTTTTTTTTTTTTTACTCTTTTTCCTCTTTTTTACTCCAGTAGAAAAAGAGGGAAGGTGAAGGAAGGTTAGAGCAATACAGATCTTCCAAGGGACCTCTCATCTTATGCCTATAGAAATCAATTGCTGGAATCTCTCAGCACTGCCATTGCTGTCATAACGTGCAGAAATTGGTCCATGAGCTTCTTATAATATCACTTGCTGCCTGTAATATCACTGTTGACTCTGCTGCCTTGTTTGTGAGCTCTGGCTGATCTGATATTTATGACAGGGGCTTGCTATCTCCCCTTTGAAATCTATCACACTGAAGAGCTGTCAAAATATTTATCAATAGTATTTGTAACTGAGAAGCTGTAGTCTAGGGGGCAAACAGCAATCTGAAATTTTGCTTTTTCACCTTTGCCATTCCAAGTCTGTCCTCTGTGTGCGTGTCCTCTCTGACATGTGAGCAATTACTTTCAAACATGCAGCTTCAGTCAGATTTTTGTTGCCTTGAATTATTTTTTGCTGCTTTTCAGTGATGGATGGTGTATCATGGCTCACAAGTCACAGGATGGTCTCCGGATTCTCACATGATCAAGTAAAGGAAATTTATTTTAGTGCCCCAAAGCTCCTGCTAGTCCCTGCATGCTGTGTACCTTTTTCAGTTATGTTCTGAGTGGCTGCATAAATCTTTTCAAGCCACATCATTGCTGAGCCTCAACATCCTTTAACTGGAACCTCGTCACCCTAAATGCGCTTTCATCTTTGCTGGCTGGTTTCCATTTGATGTTCTGCCGCTGTGAATTGGGAACTGCTGCGTTTCATCCCACTGTTGCTATTGGGTAGATTTAATAACGCTTTGCAATCTGATACAGCACCTTCCCAGTGCTAAGCCAGGTAATTCTTCTAGTAGTACTGTGTATGAGAATTAAATGAAAGCACATTCAAAGATAGAGTTATCTTTTAAGTGATAGAAAAGTCATACTTTTTGCTCCATTCCATGACAGAGAAAGCCACAACTGAAAAAAATGCAGACTTTGGAAAATCAGGATAAGAAAACTCATTGAAAAAATGATCATTAGTATGTTCAGGGCTGAGCTTTGTTTTGGACCTTGTGTAATGAATTCTGTGGGGAAGGTAGTATCAAATGTTACTGCTCTGATGCTGTGCTTTAGAGTGTTATCCCTCCTCAATATTACTGTCCAGGGGTAATCTCCATTACCATGGGTCTAACCCATGCTTGCAGCAAAAATAGCCTTTAACCCTGCATGTGTTTTACCCTGCTTCTGAGGGAGAGGGCTTGTAGGATTGATCTGGTTATTTTTCAAGACCCAGGTCATGGGGAAGTATTTTTCCTTTTCACTGAGTACCACTGAGAAAGCATTCACTTTCTTTTACAGTTTGATTTCCTGAAGAAAGAGCAAGGAAGGGCATGCCCCCGGGGACTTTACCTCAGTCAGGATGTGGTACTGCAGATGCTGCTGAAAGAGAGACTGACCACTTGAAAGATCATGAGATTCCAGTAGTTTCATAAGCTATCTGCTTGTTCAGCCATGTGAAACATAGGAAAAGGGGTCATGCGGTATTTTATTACATTGTTCTTACAAAATCAGAGGTATTTTCCCAAACTATGCAAGTCGCTGTACATGTGCTCTTGTCATCTGAACCATATTTAGCCCCATTGTCACTTTTGAACTTTCTGCATATTTTCAACTGCTGCAGATTTTTAAATCCTCCCTATTTCGTATAGCTTTCACTGTTTGAATCCTTGAAAAAAAACCTTGAAGTGTTCCCTGTACTTACACTTTTGAGAGCTGAAGCTGTGCCAGAATGCCTTCACAGATCCTGAAAATGGTAATTACAGAAATGGAAGTTAAATGGAACCTGGGGAGCTGCAATGTTTCTATTGGCAAATGACCTAGGAAAGTTTAATGTGGTGACTGTTGATAACAGAGTGGCATGTAAGAAATGTGGACCAAAGCAAGTACTTTTTTTTCTTTTCCCATTGTTCTTGCTATTTTCAATATTACTTTTGGTCACACATGGTTTCTCAGAGGAAAGCCCCCACTTAAGTCTCTTACTGGTTTCTACTCTCTACAAGTTGACATGACAAGGCAAAGAGAAGAGGGGCTATACTGGGGAGAACAGGACCAAAAGGCTACCGGATAAATGAATACCAACTTAGACATGGTGAGAAATTCTTTTATCTATATGGAAAATGCTAATTAAAAATAAAATTCATAGAAAGCAGTGGGGTTTTTTCTTCATTCTCAGTAACTGGACTCCAGGAAACTCAGTTTTTCACCTTAGCCAAGTTTATCTATATTTTTGCTTTCTAAAGAAAAATTTATTTTTTTTTTTTTTAAAAAAGAGCTTTACTCAGTAAAGTATTTGATTGAAACATGCTCTAGTTTCTCTTCAGGTTATATAAATCTTTCATATAAAGTGTATACTGTCTGTTAAAAAAAAATTTTGAAATAAAATACCTGGCCATCATTCAGTCTTTGTACCCAGCCCTACAGCTCATCTGAGGCCTCAAAACAAGCAAAATGAAGATTGTACTCATGCAATTTACTTTCCTCCACACTTTCTAAAAGTTGTTGCTTTTTCACTGAATATTTTTGTCTTAGTAGTTCCTGGCTTGTGGCAGCTTTGCATGCTACCAAAGCACTTCTCCTGTGCTGTGTATAGCTGGTGCTGCAAGTGCTGCCTCTCCAAAGGCAAGGGAGCAGCCTGCCTGGGAGCATGAAAACCTGCAGCCCAGGCACCAGGCTTTGTACTTGATAGAGGAATCTAACATGCATAAAGAGAGCCCAGCACAGCTCTGTGATTCCCAGGGTGTTGATGTTCTCATGGCAAGTGTTAAAGCAGCCCTGACCTTGCCTGGCAATACGTTTACCCTGGTTAGATCTCCCCAGGGCCCTTCTGCAAGCACTTTCTCCCTGCAGGGCTTGTACCCTGGGCATTAGCAGCACACAGAGTTTGTCTTGTCTTCTCAACAGTACTTGAAGATTTCTCCATGCAGAGACAATGTGTACCTGCTTCATGGAACAGGTTTGTGGCTTCTTTGTGTTCCTCGAGCTGTGCGTGCTGACAGCCTGAATCTGGTCTAAAGGAAGTCAACAAGAGAGCCATGAGGTCAGCTTCTCCCTTTAGTGAGCTATTTAAAAATGTTTGTGTTTTGATCAAATACGTGACTTAAAGTGAAAGGACACAATTAGCTTATGGTATCTAGGCAAACAACTCTGTTTTTGCTGAGTTGTGATGTCACTGGGGATGAAGGTCTTGCATCGCTGATCTCCAACAAGGGCATTTTCTGCAGCTGATCTTTGAATAGATGAACAGATTC